TGATTACTGATTAGTTTATAATTACTTTCCCATCCCCGTGTATTAGGCCATCCGCCCATTGGAGTAAAGGGTAATGGCAATATGCCACAAGACTATTGCTTCATTAATTTATGTTATCTTGCTGGTTGCTACAATGCCTCCATCATATTATAAACTAATCCAAATTAATCTTTTTTTTTTAAGATTGTGTTAAGCATAATACTAGTAATTTATTCAGACATAGATCCACATTTTCTTTAATCCATAGCATATACTCTTAATGGAACCGACAACTCTTTTTTTTTATTAAACAGTATAAAATTTTTTTTCAAAAAAAAAAAAAGAGATTCTAAGTTCTCTAATCCTAAACACGTTTCGACAGGGGTCTCGACAGGGGTCTCGACAGGGGTGACTATTAACCAGCAAGTGCTGGACGGAACCGACAACTTATTTTTATTTTTTGAAAAGTATAAAATTCTTTTCAAGAAAAGGAAAAGAGAACTTGAAATTTAATTCCAAATTCTTTAATCCTAAACACGTCCGGCAAGGGTGACCATTGACCACCAAGTGTTGGACGGAACCGACAACTTATTTGAAAATTACTACTAATAGAGTAAAAGTTGAGCTAATTGAATTTCAGCTTTGACCATTAAAGGGGTGGGCAACCGAAACCGACATTTAAGTATTTAACTAACCGAAGATTTTTTGTTTTAATCTTCAATAACAAAACCAAAAAATATATAATTTTTTTAGTTCGGTTATTCAAATTTTCAATTATTATGAAATCGGCTTTAATTTTAACCAATAATTATATATCAAATATAAAAATAAGGTAAAAGTTACAATGTGTTTACGCTTGTAAAAGAAATGAGACTACATGTGTTATGATGGGATGGCATTTTTAAGAGATATAAAAATCAGAAAATGTCAAATATATGAACCAAATAGGAGTAATATATGAATTTTCAATTTTATTTTTTTAATTTTTATAGATATTTTAAATTTAAATCATAAATTATAATAAAATTTATAGGGTGTGACTTGAAAATGAAATTAAATATGATTATTTTATATTTGTTTAAAATATTAGATTAATTATTATTTATTTAGTAATATAAAAGTTTATTTTTCAATTATATCTTCAATTTTTAATTTTCAAACCCTCTAACAAGAAATGAAACTTTTTTATAACCAAAATAAAAAACCAATCAAATCCAACAATTTAGTTAATTTTCAATTATTTTTTTATTACTCATTCAATTAACTAACCATTTACCTAATGGCTTAATTTAATAGATGGTCTACTACTCATTGAATTTTTTTTTTATTTTAATCTAAAATCTTTATTTTTTTTAAATCATCTATTAACTTTCAAATTTATTTCAATTTTATCTAATTTAACATAACTCAATTAATTGAATTAACGAAGTTTTATATTTTTTTATTGTGTAACATCACCTAAGTTACCATGTAGCTTAATAAGAAACTGCATGAATTTTTCCTCTCATTTTTATGCCTCGTGGCAACTTATATGATGACTCATGTGGTGTTACACAATAAAAAATTTAGAATTTCATTAATACAATTAATTAAATTGTGTTAAATTAGATAAAATTAAAACAAATTTAAAAGTTAATAAATAATTTAAAAGAAAATAAGAATTCTAAACTTAAAGAAAAAAATCAATAATTAATAAACTATTTATTAAATTAAACCTTTATCTAACCTAAAATCATTTTTACAAGTTGGGCAAAACAAATCCATATCAGACCAATGAGCCTACCATTAACTCATTGATCAGAAAGAAAAAGAAATACACGAACCCAATGAAAATAACATTTTGCAAAAGCCGAAAACGTCACCTTCGTGCTTCTTATCATCCCTGTTTGATTATACACCTCACAAGACCTCATCACTCTTTTTCTTCCGTGATTTTTCACATCTTCCATATGAATTCATTGGAGTGTCCCAACTGAAAGTACTGCAACGGTTGTACATAATTTAAAATCTACGCTGGTAGACTGAAAGGGGAATCGATGGAACGCACATGGGTCATGTCCCCACAAAATTTAACGTTTGCTCCAACCATTGAGGAGACGCGAAATTAATCCTTCATGGTGTCCACATTGTTGGTCGCCCAAAGCCTGAAAATTCAGTCGGTGTGGTCTCATATATAAGTAATGAAAACCACCCATTTTACTCCTACCCTAGATAATGCTTTCATTTCAAGGACTGTTCATAATCTCTTCTTATTTAGATGTTATATATCATGAATAGAATTGAGCGTAGCCTCTTCTTCTAGGAAGAAGAGCATTGATTCTCTTGTTGTGATCTACTAATGGTCACTGCAACTCAAAAGGATTATCGATGGAATACATCCTCATCAATGATCGAACCTTACCAAAGAGTAAGGTACTAACTTTTAACTCATAATTTTTAACCATTGCCTTTATCAAAAAAAAAAAAAAAAATGAGTATTGATCATTTGACCCCCGCACGTTATGGCAGAGTAATTTTTAATAAAATTTTTAAAATATGATTATTGAAAATTATGCAAATTCAGCCTTTTAGTATTGATTATATAAAATTAATAGTAATTTATGTATAAAAGCTCAAAAATACTATTAATAATTATCTAACATATCCTACATAATGAGAAAATATGTAAATAACAATATTAATTTTATGTTGAGCTTATCCAAATCAGTGGGGACGGTGAGAAGTAGAATATGCCACTTTAGGGGGTCGGTGTAGTGGAGAGAGAAACCAGGAAAATGAAAATCCAATTACCAAAGGACATGGTTTTGGCATCCTTCTTAGGGATTGGTTTATTAATATTCATCCATTTATAAAAAAGAAAAAGAAAAAGAAAAATAAAAACATAGTTTTGGCATCTTTCTTAGGGATTGGTTTTTATTAAGGTTTATCTTCAATTTTTTGACCTTTTAATATTGTAAAAACTAAAAACATATAAAATATATTTAATATTTATTTTAATAATATTTTATATATTTTTAAGGTAATAAAAAAATAAAAATTAAAGTAACTCAGATGTATTTCCGAATGAAACTTAAGTATGAGAAAATATGCAAATAATAACACGAAATTTGCTTCTTCTTTTTTATTTAAAAATATGAACTCTATTAATTTTTAAATAAAACAGTAAATTTTTAATTTTTT